CTCATGATTTATGCCAAAAAAAAAATTTCTCATTTACAAGCTCTAAATCCAGTCCTCCTGGGCCAAATGGCAAGACTTCCTCTGAACATATCAGATCCTTCTCTCTAACTTAAAACTGGTTTTTCTCCCTGTACTGTTTCAGAACTCACCTGTGGATTTGAATCTTTACTTACTGTTCCCACTGAGAAAACTTAACTAGGAACATCCTTTAAGTAGCTCACATCATCTTACTCATTCCTGTGCAGTTTTTATTTTTCAAAGAAACAGACTAGGTTAAACAAAGCAGTAAAACAAGTCTACTTGAAGCATGCATCCAATGAAGCAGAACCTGAACCTGACAGAAAATTCAGGTGGGACACGTTACAGAACTGGTTAAATGAAAGAAGTGGTTACAGGCAATGCTGCAGAATACAACTTTGCTCAGTTTCAGGAATGTGGGCAGAGGAGACCAGTGCTTGCAGTGGAAAAAAGAGCATAGAAGCATGAAGGCTTTTTTCCTCATAGCTATCAGGTGGCCCACTAAACACCTTCAGTCACACTAAAAATTAACCTGAATACATTTAAACAATCTCCCTTTCTATATACATTTTAGTTCTTTATATCCTTTGCATATATGTAAATGAGAGCATGTGTATCAAGAAATGAGAAATGTGGCTTTGTTTTGGCTGTACATGTTTCTAAAATATGTTTGGAGCTCACAGATATCTTCCTTTTAATGAAATGCCTCAAATGTTAAATATGGGGAATATGAACCATCTAACTCTAATTCAGCTAAATTTACAAGAGTGTTTCAGGATACTTAGAATTATTCATCTTACAATTAAGATACTGTACTCTCTTCCTCAAATTTACAGGAGTACTGCAAGCTTCCTGGTGATTAACACACAGGTAAACTGTTTGAATTTGGGTAATCAAATTTGGGTTGAGACTGTCTGTACTCCAAAGTAAAAGACCCTGCAGCAGTGAAACCAACAAACACAAATATAACTTATCTAAATTCATATTAGATTTTCAAGTAATTTCTTTCCATTAGTGTGACTATAAAACAAATCCAAGTTGGATTAAAAAAAAAAATACAACTGAATCTACAAAACAAGAAATGTATACAGTGTCTGTATCAGAAGTTTAGCAATCTACTGCAGCGATCATTCCCTGAGTGGTTTATAATGCAATTTCAAGATAGAAATATAATAATATATCTCAATCTGAAGTTTTAACAAGAAATAGGAACATGACCTAATTAAATATAACGACTATCAGCTGTGTTTTTAGAAAGAATATATCCTGGTAATTTAAAAATCTATTTTCCCATTTATTATTTGTTCCTCATTCTGGGCTCTTAAAACCTCTTTTATGCCTAAAAATAAAATATTCTCTGCAGATTTCATCTCTTTCAATTTGGCAAACATTGAACAGGGTAGAAATTACATGGCTCCTTTGTACAGCTTCAGCATATGCTGTACTTCATCAATCCAAAACATTTCTTTATATACTAGCATTAAAATAATGCTGAAGTAAGCCTTCTCTGTGTAATTACATAAGGAGGGGGTTAAAGGAAAAAAAGAGAGAGAGAGAGAGAGACAAGGAGAGAGAGAGACAGTATGTTATACAGCTGTGACCTAGTATTGTTTTTAAATTGCTGATCACACTGGCATCTTCATATTTCTTTAGGAAGAAACATACCAAAATTCTTCTACTCTAGGCAAAAGCAAGTACACAAGGTTTTTCAAAAGAAACTATCAACACTATTACTGACAGAAATACAACCCTTTCATGTAACATAAGTTTTATCACATTTTTAAGAACAGAAATCCATACTTGTAATAGTATCTACCTACATAACTTACTGCTTTGTTACTTGTAAAACTACCCCTCCTAGCACAGCTTTCTCTCTTCAATACTTAAGTAGAAGTGTCACAAAGTACATGACACTTCATGAAAAAACAAGCTTTCTGCTCCAGGGATTACAGATTAAATCAGACAATCAAACAAATTTGACTGGAAGAGACAAAGTTGAATTGGTTGTATTTAATTTAAACAAGGTAAAATATGGAAGGACAAAAAACCTGAATGTTGTGCAGTTATCAATTTGTCCATGAACCACAGGAAATAGGAAGTTATCAGTGTCATTTTCATCCCTTTTCTATTTCTCCTCATATATTCTATGGCAGTGTTCTTTCTCCCCCTGCCCCCCCCCCCTTTTTTTTTTTTTTTTAAAAAAGGCACTAACACTTTTGTGCCTTTTTAGATATAGATATATATGCAATATATAGTTACTCCTGAGGGAGCCCAATCCCATCTCGCACTTTTGGGATGAAAACCACAGGATGACAATTCAAAAAGAGGGGTTTTGGACTTTTGAAGGAAAGATGAGGGTTTAGTGGAAGACGCAGAATTATATATAAGTTTAAATTCTATAGAGTTTACATAATGTAAATGCACATGCTAAGTCAGTATTACAGAAGAATAGTACCTGTGCACAGTCCAGCTTCAAAAGCAGGTCCACCCTCTTTAACTTGTTTAACAAATATGGTATCCATTGGTTCCAGTCTATTTCTTTGTTTTCCTGAAGAAGAAAGGACACTTAATTATACTGCATTACAACGTTTTCATTTTAAAGAATTATTTGGAAGTGTAATCCTGCCATATTCATTGTTGCCTTAAGTACCAAAGTCCAATTTGGGGGAGGAAGGAGAGGAAAGACGGAGAGTCCTAGAGAGAGCATTTCCTTTCACTATACTAAAGGTCTTTTAGGTGCCTGGGGAGAAACAAACCAACCAGCCCACCCACCCCTTAACTTCAACCTTAAACTTTTGACTATGTCATAATAAATGACACTTTTAATTCCATCATCTCACTGCTATTTCATCCTCATACAATACATACATATACAACAAAAATTACTCCTTTCTTTTCCACATTCCTATCTAGGATGAGATATAAACTAAACAAATTGAAGTAGACTCAGTAGTGTGAATTGAAAAATAAAATTTTAGAAGCTTTCTCTAGAAGGGGTAGTCTTTATTAGTTTCCTCATGGAATCATAACTAAAACTGGCACTGCTGATTAAAAAAAACACCCTTTGAAACTACAGTATTAGGTTCTAATCACTTCCTTACAGACTAATCTTCAATTTCAACACAAATGGCGGTGCTTTTGGAAACATTCAAGCTACTGCTCAAGTATTCCACCTGGTTATGTTTACTAAGCCACATTCTCTTCTTCAATTATTTATGGAATAAAAATGAGGTGTGCCCCACTCCATATGCCTCTTTTTGTTTGGCTTCCATATAAGAAAAGATCATTATTTGTAGAATTTTAATAAATTACAGCAAACCAGACTCCCCTCTGAATTTGATTCACATTTTTCAAACAGTTTTTAGCCTAATGCCTTCATTTTGCAGACTGCTCAGTGTCTGCCATCTTACTAAAACACAGTTAAACGAAATGGCTTACTCATATGGCTCTAAATGACCTACTTAAAACAACTCTAGATTGATATAGAACAACCAGAAAGCTGATTTGTTAGAATCAGGTAGCTATTAGATACTAAGTAAATCAATCACAGATCAAAAAAATCCAGCCGGCTGCTCAGTCCCCAAATACTTTAAAATGTGATTTGTGGGACAGAGCTACCAGACATACAAAATGCTCTTTGTGAAGCAAAATTCGTATTTGTGAAATTTAATCTATTGATTTTAATAGATACTGAACGCTTGACAGGTCCTATCTTTTAAGAGGCAGCAATGTTTCAACAAGTTTAGATAAGCTCAAAAAGCAATTTACTCAGATGCCACAGAAAAAAGATTGCTTCCCCTATTTATAAGGGTGAACAGTTAAAACGTTACCTTTTATAGGACTACCTAACATCATCCCTAATATCGCCATTTAATTATCTTACTGCAAAGACACAGTCCCCCAAATAAGAAGAAAACAAAAATTATGGAGGTACACTGGCACATTTAATTTACAACCCTTAAAATAACATCTGATATGTATATATCCCCACATCAGGCTCTATCTCAACTTTCTTTAGAAAATGCCAGTTAAAGAGCATTAATGGCCTACTGCTAATTTGTGTAACACTCACAAGCCTTTTCCATATTTGAATACACAAAGCAAGAGGCCAAGCAAACAGATTACTCCCATTAGACATGAAACACAGTATACCTTTACTGCAGTTACCACTTCTCTGAGTTAGGGAAGAAAATAGTACTAATTTCCAGAGACTGAGGGCTTCCCTCAAACCTGATTTCTGATCACCGTGTCAGCAGAATCACGGCAGTGGCACAAGGCACCTCCTCAACACCACAGGCAACTGTGTCAGCTTTTCCCTGCCATTTGGTGGATCAGCTCCTAAAGCTGATCACACATTAAACTTAATTCTTTGTCCTACACATGGATGAAAGAAATGCTGAGCACTCATCCATCTTTCTACAAAGGTGAAATATCACCCTAAAGGTTAAGATCAAATTAACGGCACAAAAGTAGGAGGAAAGGTTTATCATCTTGTTTACGTTTGCAGGTTTATTTTTCAGCTCCAAAACATCCATACAGAAGTAAAAACAAGAAGAAATCCTAGGATTCCCAAGCTTTGGTAGAGGAACACGTTCTTCATTTTTCCTTAGTCTTTTACTTACTTAGACACAACCCAAAACTTTCTTCCCTGAGTAAGCATATATATGAGCTTCCTTGAACGTGCAGTCTCAAAGTATATCTTTATATTTTAAGCTTGAAACTCAAGCAAAGCTAAACAATATTTTCTTTCTGACAGTGGCAGCTAATGATACTCTCATCAGACCAGCTGAGGGGGAGTAAATATTGCAGACATGCAGTTGACCATTCCTGAAATACGTTCTAGGTAAAATAGGTAATCTAGTAACTTATTTCATTTCTCAAGATTGTTATTAGCAGTTACAATACATTATTGTATTAAGTTGTAAATCTTAGAAGAAAATGTTATAGCTGTAACAACATTTGACTACCACAGTTATTTCCGTCATATTCTCACTCTTGAAAGTCAGGTCACAAATTACACAAAAGCAGAGCAAGTAAAAAACTGAAATACTACACAAGAAGCCTTGCTTGTCACTGTCACTGAAACCCAATTAAAATATTTTAAAATTGTTGGTTAAAGCTATTCTTGCTGAAGTCACGACAAACTGTTGTCTGAGAAGGTATTTACCTGGCAAGAATTAAGCTAGGAGATGGAAATCATGTATAACGGAGCAACAATAAAAGAAAGTCATGCATTTTATACAGCACTAATAAAATGCACAATTGCGATGCAGAAGAGACTACACAGCAAGTATTACTAAGTGCAAGCTATTTTTACAGTGTGTCTGCATTCAGTTAACCATCTTTCTTCATAATAATGCTTTTTGTTTAGGGAGCAATATCTAAAAAGTGAATTAGAAAGAATTAGTACTTCTTTCACATAAATCTGTTGTCTGTTTCACTTGTGGCTTACATCCAAGTACTTGGCTATTAGTGAGAAAAGCTTAAAGCAGTTAATTTACAAATCAACATTTAAATAAGTTTCACATATGGCAATAAAAGTTTTTTTATTTTCACTTATTCAACGCTGCTCATTCTAGAATGATTTTTAAAAGGATACATTTTAGCATAGCTATATGCATGCTCAAATGTGTCATGGATTTTTTTCACATCTTTTCCATGTCACATCTATGACATTTTAACACATGCAAAGCCTGCAGAAATGTAAAAAAAACGAAGGAGACACAAATGTATTTTTTTTTCAATCAGCAAGCTTTCTCCTTTATGAGAAATTAAACTTGTTCCCGCCACAGGCTGCCAATAACCAATACCATTACTCTACTCCCTCAGTACCAGGGTTCTGCCTGCCTAGGACAAGAGGTGGATATTCCCTCACCTATTTCCTTGGAGTTTAAACTGCCTCTGGTAGAAAGAAAATCCCTGCTGCACTAGGTTCCCAGTACATGTCAATCTGACAGAGCATCTTCCAGCTCACTATTGTCAATAGAAGTCAAAAATTAAATACTTCCAGTGTGTCTGATTTTAGTAATTGTGGCTGGATATGCTCTTCATTCAGATCACATAAGGAGCTGACACACTAGCTATGTACTCATTGACACTCTCTCAGAGCTTACATTTATTACACTGTACACTAAATGCACAATCCCAGCACTGCCACTAGCATCCAACTCACATAATGCCTGGAATAAAACAGCGCTTTAAAATACAGATAGGTAGCCTTGACTTACGGAGTAATGCATGGATGCTGGTGACATCTGAACAGTAATACAGTGCAACCAACTGTAGCCTGATATAAACTCATCACTCACCCTCCTGAACTGCATTAATAAAACTATCATTAACTTGAATAAAAATAGGTCAAGCTACCAATGGCAGAAGACAAGGCATCACTGCATGCACTTCAATATGGCCTAGTTTGGATATGTGCTTATCCTGCCTTTTACTGGTTTACTTCAGTAATGCAGCAGACGAGTCTAGTCTACAAGAGCGGCTTGCTGCATCAGTGACGAGCATTATATTGCAGACGACTGCCAAAGAAGATAATTTCCCCCAAATCTTCGACTGCAAGTAAAAGCACACCATGAGCAACAGGCAAAACAGCGAGGTGATAGGAGCACGCTTGTACAAACCAGGAAGCAGTTCAGACATACAGAACAACTTTCATGAAAAAGCATTTCATACATATTTAATTACTCCAAAAGTGTAGCTGTAACAGAGGCGTAGTGTCATAGAAGAGTAAAAAAAACCAGAAGCATATGAAGTAGCTATGTACACGTTATGTCACCAGAAACTGAAAAACAGTCCATAAAAACAAAGCTATCCCTAATCAGTCTTGTACACACATGAAAGTCTCCAACTTGAGTAAATGGCCACCAGTCAGAATAAGTTAAAGCTTAAGTTAATGTTGAAGCAGTAATGTAGTTTTGCTAACAGCGCAGCTTAAATATTCCTTGCGGCGCAATTGCTCCCTCAAATGATGATACTGCAGTGAAGACGTGACCTTAGAGATGGCAAATCAGCGTCTGAACTTTTACTTCAGAGATTCAGTATCACCAGAAACAAGGTAATGAAAATGAACCACCAAGTATTTAGAAGACTTCAGGCAAAAATTCATTGGCTCAAACAAGGACAGTATGGAATCAGTAGTCTTTATAATGAAGTCATTAGTCTAAACAACTGAAGTTAAGAAAATGGTCTGAAGAAGCATCTTCAACAACATCTTCAATAAAATATGAGACAAATTCAGAAAAGTAGCTTTTCCTGCAACAAGCAGATTTTTCCTAGCCAATGTATAAGTTTTTCTTCATAATTATATGCAAATCTTGTAATTAGCCAGCAATTTTCAACCCAATAATACTAACTGCTAGCAAGATCAAAGTAGAATCTATGGAATGACAAGAGTAGTGTATCTTGCTTCAACTGTTCTTCAGATGAAGGTCAAATAAAATTAAGGATTTCTTCATAATACAAATATTTATCATGATTTATGTTCTAACCTTTACGCTATCTAGATCTACTAGCTGAGACTCTGTGAATAAACACCACCTT